CTGACAGTAGAATATTATTCTGTTTATAACACTCTGCACAGAATGTTTCTGCATTTTCCAGTCTTTTTTTGCTGACTTCCTTTTCTGGGACATTTCGAGCCTTTTTAGTTGTTTTGTATTGAGTTAGAAGTAATGTAGGCTTTACCTTAGAGAAAAGGAATGGGTCCCTGCAATGAAAAGAGGAAAAATTCAAATACAGTTGTAGCAATGATGTCCTTTCCTCCCTTTCCATTCTTCCGGTCCGTCAGTTACCCCATCTCTCGTTATCCATCAGTCATTATTGCACAGCTTATAGTGACACTATCACATCCTCTATGTGTCATACATTACATTCTGGATACAGTAATATCAGTAAATAGTCTATTTTGGGATTTGTGATGTTGGCTCAGAAAGACCATTGACATCTTTCTCTGTCTGTGGTTCTTCTCGCCTTGGTTTCCTGCGTACACAGCCAGCCAGTGAAAGAACCAGTGTTTTGGTTTACTGAGGACAATGCAGTTTTATTTGGATAACCTTATAGGATTGTGGTTGGTTATTCTGTGTCTCATGGTACACTTACCTAGGTGGTCGAGCATATCGTATTTCTACGGTGGATTTCTTTGGAGTCACCCGAATATAGTATGGTACATCGGGAATCTTCTCCTCTTTTTTATATCTGACATAGGTATCATAATGTCTAAAGCTTTTAAAGAAAAAAAACAAAAAGTTCAGGCTGATCTTTACAGCACCCATCGCAGAGGTTAATATCTCAATTTGTTAAAACAAAGTACAAGAACCCTCCACCCCCCTTTGATTAATGTGATCATAGAGTATTTACCTTTTATCAAGCACAGCAAATTTAGATGTAACAGAAGGGGGAAGGCGACGTCTAAACGTGCCTTCTTGGCAACATTTTAGAACTTCTTCCACAAACCCGCCATTCTGTTCCCGCAGCTCCCGTCTGTTCCCCTTTTCAGTTTCTGGAGAAATATCCAGATTAGGTGATATCTGGGGGAATGTCTGGGGCTCGGCTTTAAGAGCTAGCCTATTGAGAAAAGAAAAAGTGATTAGTGAAGTTTCATATTTCGCACATTTGACGTTTTATGTCTGGAATAACCGAGTGTGTTTAGGAGATGATACAAGAAGCCATTATATATTATGCATTGCTATTTGGGTTGTATTGTAATGGTTAAATAATTCAATTTAATATATAAAACCTGTGAAAGTTTTCAAGACGCATGCCATCCTGCATTTCATCCCAGGATGGTGCTGTCTGATCAGGGACTCAAAACACCTTTATTAATTCCTAGATATTTTACTTGTTTTTTACACCCCTGTATATCTTGCCTGCTTATTTTAATGCAATCACTACAAATGGAATAAGCTACACACGTTTATTGTTTTGTTAATTTTTTATCTCACCTGTTAAGAAGAATAACTAAGAGATGAAACTCAAATTCACATTCAAAATATTTTAACCCTTATGTAACTCCCATTTATTTCAAGATGACACTATTCAATCTACAGGAAAGCTATGTCATTTTATAGAAATGATGCCCATTAACAAACCATCCTTTAATCTAATCTCTATCGAACTCTGACCCCCATCTTCTAATAACCCCATCCAATAGGATACCTGCAGCCGCTGCCCACTTACCTGTCCGTAGAAGGCTGGATGTTTGGCTGTTTTCTGAATTCTTTTTTAGTAGAATTCCTGGGTGGGGGTTGATTACCCCCCAGCCGTGAAACCAGGGGACGTTCAATCATAGAAATAACGTTACCCATTGTCTCTGTAAATCATCTCACTGCAATGAAACTGCTTGTGAAATGCCAGTATAACCAGCACTAACTCTGTTATCTGTTATCTGGTCTGTGACATCACAATAGAACCTGATGATCTATGATGCAGGAATAATGGCTGACTGCATAATGTCTATTGATATTATATCCAATTAAATATAACTGAAAAATAATTTAAATCACAGGAAAATAAACAACTTAATTTCATAAGTTGTGGTTGTAGCATTAACCCCTTAAGGACCAAACTTCTCGAATAAAAGGGAATCATGACATGTCACACGTCTCATGTGTCCTTAAGGGATACTCCGGCCACCATAACAACTTTTTCATAATTAAGTTGTTATGGTATGATGAGGTCCATGGCACCATATCACCTAAAGGTGTTAAACCATTAACAGTTTAACCCCAGACACTTCCTCTAAAGGTGACATATATAACGATATCAAATTAGGGAGCTATTTACTAAACAGCTGGACTATTTAGAAAAGTTTTTATTTTTATTTTAAACTTTTATCAGATTAGTAGATAACTCCCTAATTTGGTATCTTTATGTGGGATTGCCAATTATAAAGATACTAAATTAGAGAGCTATCTAATTAACAGATGAAAGTTTAAGATTAATTAAATCCCTTTTCATAGCCAATCCCAATAGGTTCAACAGCAGAGAAATACCCAACAGTTCATGTAGCAACATCTCGATCTTATAAAAACATCCCACTTGTGTGAATTCTTTGTGTTTGGAGGAAATTACAGGACTATAAGTGGAATACAGAGACCAAGCAAGTTTGTTATTCAGTTTCATCTTGTCTTCTATGAGACAGTATCAAGGGGTGCAGTAACGTGTGACCTCTTATCTCTCATGCTCTGGGGACTTTGCTGAGGAACATTACTGCTCACACGGTCTTTGGCTTGGTTTGAGGCACAGGGCAAGGAATGTGATCCCCTAGAAAAGCAAATGGCGAGGGCCCCAAAGTCGAGCAAAATTAAGTAGGACAGGTGTGAGTAATGGGAGGGAGTGATAAGACGTTATACATGATAATGGAAGTGGAAGGAGTATAGGAGAGGAAGGGATTGGTGGGAATTATACAATTATAGAGAGAGGAAGGGATAAGTGAGAGAGATAGGATGATGGGGAGATGGAGGGAAACATCGATAGGATGGGTTTGGCATCTGGTGGCACATAATCTTGGCCAGGCCTAGGGCAGCATAAAAGGTGATTAGATCTTATATATATATTTTCTTGTATGTTTCTCATTTCCAAACGAAGCGATCACATGAAACAGTGCGGTGCATGCAGGTACAGGGAAAGATAAACATATCATAAAACAGGATGAGATACGCAGATTTCAATTGCAATAAAAATAAAGTATACAAAATAAAAACAAAGCAAGTTAGGGTGTAAGCAATGCCCCTAAGGTGGATCAAACTATACAGGGCGTAAAGAATCAGGAGAAGACTCCCATCGCACCAGCTATGGTGTTCTAGTCCTCAAGCACAAATGTCCCATAGTAAATGCAAAATAAGGGCACCTGCGTCAGAAGTAATGTGAACTTATGAGTAAAGTGCGCAAGAGGCCACATCATTCCAAACAAGAGATAAATGGATTGAGGCCAAAATCTCAAGTCACCATGAGCTACGTCGCATGCTCGGGCTCGGGCTCAGAGAGAGCAGGAGAAAGAAGGAAAAGGAAAAAAATGGAGGAAAGTAGGGGGGGCAACGAGGAAGAGGGTGGTGGGCAGAAAATGTAGAAGCTAGGTAGAGGGAATAAGAAGGGCGCTCTGATTGAAGTTTAAGAATACAACCGTTGTTATACCTAGCTCTGGTTTTGTCTTGCCCAAATCATTGTGTTCCCTGCCTGTGCTTGAATGTAACTGGATTGCAATATACTTTGTAAAAGATCGAATAAACATTTAAAAGGAAATACAGCATCACATGGAAACAATGTTTCATACAGGTTAACATATTATATGTTTAAAGGGTACTTTGAGCACTATGACCACTATGGTGTGTTGTAGTGTTTATGGTGGCAGGAATATTCTGAAACTACCCCGCAGTAATTTATGACCTTTAACACTTACCTGTATCTCTGCCGGGAACGTTTGGTGCAGAGATGATCCGAGGCGGCGCATGGGTTGCACATCACCCAGGTGCTCTGTAGATAGAGGCTCATTGTGGTGCTAGGTTTCAGCCCCTCCCCCTTGGCTCCATCCCCTCATTTTAAGCCCCATCTCTTCACTGGTAGGCTTATTGAAGTCCCATGCGGGAGAAGTGCTCAGAAGAGTTCCTGGAAGGTGAAGCTGGGCAGTCACGAGGGGGGGGGGGCAAAATAAGGGCACAGGAGTAGAGAGGAGTGGGGTTAAAGAAGAGCATAGGAGTGAAGGTGGGCAAAGGAAAGGCACAGGAGAAGAGGTGGGCAAAAGAGTTCACAGTAGGGCAAAAGAAGGGGCATATGAAGGGCACAGTAGGTGAGATGAGTAAAAGAGAGCACAGGAGGGGAGGGGGATAAAGAGTGCACAGGGGGGCCCCAAGGGCACAAAAGGGAAGGGGCTAAACATTTCACAGGAAGGCCCGGAGGTCATAGGAGAAGAGGGGGAAAAAGTGCACAGAAGGACAGGGCACATAGAGACACACAGGGGAGCTGGGGGCACAGAGAGGCACACAGGGGGCTGACGTGGAACAAAGACTCACACAGAAGGTCTTTTGGGACCAAGAGAAATATACCAGTTTTGGGGTGGCAAAGAAATTTGGAGGACAAACAGACACACACAGAAGGGCTGGGGGGAGGAGACACACAGAGAGGAAGAATATAAGAGACACACAAAGAGATTGGAGGTTGAAACAGACGCCTGCTGGGGAAGAAAGAAGCCTGCCAGCCAGCCAGTCACTGCAGCCATCTAGCCAGCCTGCCATCAAGCAACAGCAGCCTGCCAGCTGGCCACTGCAGCCAGCCTTCCAGCCAACCGCCAAAGGCCAACCAGCCACTGCCGCAACCTGTAAGCCACAGCAGCCAGCCAGAAAGAGTAATTAAGGTGAGAAGACACAACTTGAGCCGGGTGTCAGAGAGCTATGTTATATTACTAGATTGTAAATGGGGAGCCAGAGTGTTAGAAAGAACCCTCTCCAGGGGCCATTAAACTCCATTGTAATCTCTAATGAGGCCTTGAGGGAACTCTTTCTAACATACAGTTTATATATTTGTGCAATAAATATTCTTGAAAACATTAAAAATAATTTTGGGTGGGGGGCGGAGCCTGACCGCCGGCGGGAACAGACATGCTCTGTCTGAGCTCCCGCTCCAGGGCCCGAAGTCGGTGTAAATTGGAGGTTTTACGAGACTGGAAAACCACACAGGCGACCACACCGACCCCCAGTCACAGGGGCAAACTAGTATACCGTATGAGACTCTCTGGCACCGACAGTGACCCGAATGGGGCATGGAGTCCATTGGGGCTTGAGCCGGGATGAGACGGCCGCTCTCCCGGGTCTCCGGCCGGCGTCACGCTTCCCCGCCCCTCTGGACCAGGGGGGTCATCCCGGTCTGCAAGGGCACTAGCCAGCACACCAACCTGGACATAAACAGCCACCCTGTTGAGGATTAGCCGCTGGACGACGGCAACAAGATGGCCGCCGCACACCGACCATGTGCGCGAGCTGCCTGCGAGATCGAGTGGACGCTTACCTAAAAGTGAGAAAGCCAACGGAGCAAATGAATAAGCACACACTACCACCCTGCCGGGTCCTTACAAAAAAGCAAAGTTTATGGACACTGCAAATAAGAACACACACAGCACTCTAATGGAAGTGCCTGCAGTAGCACATACCACAAGACACGAAGCAGAACCCGCCCTGACAGCACTGACCACCCAAGGATTCAAGACAGAGCGCAACCAAGAGGAACCCTGGTTCATGGACCGGAAAATCTTGAGACTCACTGTGGCTGAACTCCCTGCTGTGACCCACCTGTGGCATTGGGTGCCAATCAGATAACGTGACTCCTGCTAACACAGGGCAAGACCAACACCAGCAATGTAATGACTCTTATTATCCTCAGTCTATGCATTACCTTTTCCCTAAAGTTTTTAGGACCCTGTGGTGTTGATAGTTTATCTACTTTCCTAACAATACTTAGCAAGCGACTATCTTAACTAATTAACTTAATCTCCTGATGGCCTGACACGTCTCCTAGCACTGTTTTCATTTGTTTTGTTGTTATATGACAAGCATTAAACTTTCAAAATTGATTGATATCATAGACACATTAATTCAGAATTAAAAATAGACTATGTGAATGTGGTACTTGAACAATATGATTACCCGTATGCTACCAAATATAGTTATTGGCAGCGGGACTGTTTGATTCTTACAATGCGATTTACCCTATGAAGAAAGGACAAATAGCTAAAAGTGCTAATAGCATATTAAGGATGGACAAGTTACACTCCACATTTATTTGGAATCGCATTGTGTTTTGATAATTCTTTATGAAAGTACAATAACTGCTTTGTACATAACTAAAGGTAATTCGCCTGAAACATTTATAATTTGCTTTTCTACTCCAAATACACGTGGGGCAACTTGCTCCGATAATAATTTCATCAAACACAGGTGATTCTCAGCCAGCCAGTGAGTATGAATCCTTTCAGGTTATATTTTTGTTTAGTTTTTTTGTTTTAATATGTTTGGTTTTTTTTCCATTTTATTTTCATTGTATAAATATAATTTAAATCAAACAATGAATAGTATATAACTTTAACATACATTAAAACATCTTAAATATGTATCATTACAAAATCTTATCAAATATCTTTAAGAAGACAGACATAATATACAGGTGATACTCGAAAAATTAGAATATCGTGCAAACTTTCATTTATTTCAGTAATGCAACGTAAAAGGAGAAACTAATATATGAGATAGACGCATTCCATGCAAAGCAAGATAGTTCAAGCCGTGATTTGTCATAAATGCGATGATTATGGCTTACAGCTCATGAAAACCCCAAATCCACAATCTCATTAAATTAGAATATTGTGAAAAGGTGCAATATTCTAGGCTCACAGTGTCCATCTCTAATCAGCTAAGTAAGCCATAACACCTGCAAAGGGTTTCTGAGCCTTTAAATGGTCTCTCAGTCTGGTTCAGTAGGAATCACAATCATGGGGAAGACTGCTGACATGACAGTTGTGCAGAAAACCATCATTGACACCCTCCATAAGGAGGGAAAGCCTCAAAAGGTAATTGCAAAGGAAGTTGGATGTTCCCAAAGTGCTGTATCAAAGCACATTAATAGAAAGTTACATAGAAGGTAAAAGTGCGGAAGAAAAAGGTGCACAAGCAGCAGGGATGACCGCAGCCTGGAGAGGATTGTCAGGAAAAGGCCGTTCAAATTTGTTGGAGTCTTTCACAAGGAGTGGACTGAGCCACCACACACAGACGGATCCTGGACATGGGTTTCAGACAGTTGTATTCCTCTTATCAAGCCGCTCCTGAACAACAAACCACGTCAGAAGCGTCTTACCTGGGCTAAAGAAAAACAGACCTAGTCTGTTGCTCAGTGGTCCAAAGTCCTCTTTTCTGATGTGAGCAACTTTTGCATCTCATTTGGAATCCAAGGACCCAGAGTCTGGAGGAAGAATGAAAAGGCACACACTGCAAGATGCTTGAAGTCCAGTGTGACGTTTCCACAGTCTGTGTTGATTTGGGGAGCCATGTCATCTGCTGGTGTTGGTCCACTGTGCTTCATTAAGTCCATGGTCAACGCAGCCGTCTACCAGGAGATTTTGGAGCACTTCATGCTTCCTTCCGCAGACAAGCTTTATGGGGATGCTGACTTCATTTGCCAGCAGGACTTGGCACCTACCCACACTGCCAAAGGCACCAAAGCCTGGTTCAATGACCGTGGGATTACTGTGCTTGATTGGCCAGCAAACTCGCCTGACCTGAACCCCTCAGAGAATCTATGGGGCATTGCCAAGAGAAAGATGAGAGACATGAGACCGAACAATGCAGAAGAGCTGAAGGCCGCTATTGAAACATCCTGTTCTTCCATAACACCTTAGCAGTGCCACAGGCTGATACCTTCCATGCCACGCCGCATTGAGGCAGTAATTGCTGCAAAAGGGGCAAAAAACCAAGTACTGAGCCAATATGCATGCTTATACTTTTCAGAGGTCCGATATTGTTCTATGTACACTCCTTGTTTTATTTTACTGAGATTGTGGATTTGGGTTTTTCATGAGCTGTAAGCCATAATCATCGCACTTATGACCAGGGATGTATTTACCACAAGGCAAACAAGGCATTTTCCTAGGGCGGCACTTTTGGGGGGCGCCAGAAAAATTCCACCCCAAGCTCCCAGACAAATGCCTTGTTTGCTTCGTGTTCTGGGGCTGTCCACTTTATTGTGAGTGAGTGAGTGTAGCTGTCAGTGTGTGTCTGTGACTGAGGGAAAGTGTGTGTGTCTTTCAGTGAGAATGGGTGTGCCTGTGAGTGTGTGTCAGTGTGTGTATGTCATATTATGTGTATATGACAGTGTGTGCCTGTCAGTGAAAGTGTGTGTTGGTTAAACAGTGTGTGCCAATGACTGTGTACATGTCAGTGAGTGTATATCAGTGCATGTATCAATGAGGGCACGTGTCTGTCAGTCAAAAACGTGGCCTTGACACGAATTGGGGGGGCAAATTTAGATTTTGGGAGTATCCGAATTTAGTTGTGCCTAGGGCAGCACAAATCCAAAATACACGACTTTTTATGACAAATCACAGCTTTAGCTATCTTGCTTTGCATGTAATGCGTCTATCTCATATATTATTTTCCCCTTTTACGTTGCATTACTGAAATAAATGAACTTTTGCATGATATTCTTATTTTTCGAGTATCACCTGTAAAGCATAAATTCTGACCTCATTCCAAGGTATAGCATATGATTTCCACTTTTTTGCTAGTCAAAGTTTAGCTGACGTACATATATGCATTAGATCTGTCTATATTCTTGTTAGATTATTTACGTTTACATATAATAAAACCCATTCTGATTTAAATTTCAGTTTTTTTTCTCTGTTAGACTTTCTATTTTGCTCTTAATCGTTAATCAAAAAGTTGAAGAGGATTACCCTTCCACCATATGTGTAGAAAGTTTGTGGTATGTAAATAACATCGCCAACATTCCGATATACGTTGTGGGTAGATCTTTTTCAATTTACTAGGCACCAAGTACCATCTTGGTATTACCGTAAAATGTAACTCTGTTAAATTTAGAAAGTGAATCATTTAATTTACTAAATGTTGTGCTGCTATCCAATATGAGTGAGCAATTTGTTAATTTAAAACCTCGTCCAATTTTTTAATATTAGGGCTTAAAACTTTTTGTGGTTCGTCTCTAAAAAAAAATGTAGCTCTCGTGATGTAGGTGTCTTTAATTTTTTAGATATCAATACATTTTCCAATTCTATTATCTTATCTGACAGATGAAAAACTAGGGATTTTTTTAGATAATTTTTCATAAATAAGAAAATACCTAATTATTTGCTGTCTTATCCTCTCTGTAATTTATTAAATTATTAAATCTGTTGATTTGAGTCCAGATCCTTATTTAGATGTATTCTGGCTATTATTAATTTCTCCACATTGATATCTAAAATGTTAACCTTTAGTATAGAAGTTGGAAGTGAAGAAACACTTTTTTTTTAAAAGTTCAAATCTTTTTTAATTTTATTCCATATTTTTAATAGGTCTTTGATTATTCTAAATCTTAAAATATGCATAGTTTTCTTATTATCATTACTATATAATATTATATATCATTATTATATGACTATGTGTCAATGATTGTACTAATTTATACCCCATTTCAACCTGAGATTTCTTAATTAATGTCTCCAATATTTATTTCAGCTTATTCAATTTATAATAATCTGTAATGTTTGAAAAGCCTTAATTATTTTTTAGAGCTAACTTCTTATAATTTAATCTTGGACGTTTACCCAACCAAATTAATTTTCTAAACGCAATATTCACTAAATCTAATCATAGGTGTGAAAATTCTAAGGGAATCATTCTAAATAAGTAAGACCACTTAAGTAGAGTGTACATTTTTTTTTTTATAATTCTTTATTTTTGTTGTGCAAGATTTAACAGCCGCGCTTGTTCCGCCATGACAGCAGGTGCAAGTGCAATATCGTCAAACATAACTGGTACAAAGACATGGCAGTAAATAAACAGCACATTTTTTGCATTGAAGTAAAGACATTTAGAGCATTAAGAGTACGATGAGACATTTGAGCGGTCATCATATTAACAAGCTCTTACGTATTTTGAAGTATATAAGCACAATATTATAGTTTTATAGTAGCTTGACATTTTTAGGAACATGTACAGTTTTAATGTTATGTCGCTTAAATAGACATGCACATGAATATAGATTAGACCAAACTTATCATGCTGCAGGCTTGGTCTAAGCTGGTTACACTATAAGTTACTGTAGTCTGGAACTGCAGTGTGTTAGCGTTAGTGCATCCATGTTAACTAAGCAGTACTAAAGCCTTAGTAAAGCTTGGTAAAACAGTACCTAAACATATTAAATCAGGCTTAGTCGATAAAACAGGTAATGAGTTAACATTTCCATCACCATGTCTAAGTAGGCCAAAAGCTAGATGGTGGTGCTTGAATAGTAAGATGGACGATATGGATCTTAAAGAAAAGCTTAAGGAAAGAAAACAAACAGACAAGAGAATACCACTGAGTAAAAGGAGCTGGAGAGCATATATAGCCCTAGTCCATGTGGCTGACCAGTTGCGGAGACAGTTCAGCCTATTCCCGACAGATAGTGTCTCCATATCCAGGGAGAGTGTTCATTAGCGGACCCCGCTCGGAGTTTGCCGCTTGATCTCATAATCTGGGCCATGCCGATGCCCAGGGGGTTATGTGCTGGGTTCCTCTCAGGGCCTCCTCCACTTTGCAGCAGTGTCCTTCTTCCAGGCGTGTTAGGAGTGGGGTGCTGTAGTGTGCGCCGGCATTGCCGTCTTGAGCTCCGCGTTGCTGCATGGGAATCCCCCCTGTGTTGCTGTCTGTTGATAGTTAGCTTGCGCCGAGAGCGAGGTTGACCCGGCGGTAGTCGGGGCTTCTGCGCCCTCTGTGGTGTCGATCGGGCATCCTGGCGTTGGGCTGCTGGCCAACTATTTGGTTGTTGTTTCTGCCAAGCAAGGTAAGCGCTGTGGAGTGGGGCAGGTCGAAATAGCCTGCGCTCCAGCTGCTTCCAAAACCTTTCAAAGTGCCGATTAATCTTCGCAAGGACATCGTGTGCAGCATCAGTTGGACTCTCAGCGCCCGTTATTTCCGCCATCTTGGTTGGAGCTCTGTGCTCTCGCTTTGCCCATGAGGCAGTCTGTGTTGCTTCAGTCCGCTTTGGGCTGTCTCCGCTTGATGGACCGGGATCTCCCCCACCGGTCCAGAGGGGGGGGCAGCGGGGCTTGCTCATAGTGCCTGCTTTGCCGGTGCGTCTCATGGTCAGGAGAGCGGCGGTCTCCCCCGTCCCATGTGTGCTAGGCCGCACTGTCAGCCGCGGCATTGGCGGGTCATGCGCGGGTCTCTTACCCTCCTGCCACCTGCGTTCTGTTGCAGGGAGCTTATGGGTATGTGGTATCGGTGTTTGTTCCGCTGGACACCGTCTCAGGTCGCTTATATCGCCATTATCGAGCGGGAGCTCTTGAGAGATACGTCTTGTCGCCATGATGGTTAGGCCCCGCCCCAGAGAGAGAGTGTACATTTTTATGGAGTTTATTATAATTGACCATAATGTTTCTATTTGTTTCCACCCTTCAGCAAAATCTTATTCTGTTTTTGTAATGATAATGCATTAATTTCTGTTATTTTAGTTATATCTTTACAAATTTTTGTTCCCAAACAGTTTATGTAGTTATTATCTATCAAACCATGTTTTCTATCAACTTTGATCTTACATCTAGGGAGCAATTACTAGATAGGGCAGATGATTTTTTTCCAACTAAGTTTATATCTGATGTATCTGAATATGTTTGTATTGTTTTCATTAGTCCTTTCATGTATTCCCAAGGATTTTGTAATGCCAAGACAATGTCATCTGCATATATTATAATCTTTGATTGATATTGATACGATTTAAAACCTGTTATTGCTACATTTGGTCTCATTGACTGTGCTAGAATATTAATTGTAATATCATCAGACAGTGGGCAACCCTGGCGGGTGCTGTTATTTCTTGGGAACCAGTCAGAGGGCACTCCATGGCCAATTATCCTTGCTATTGGGTTGAAGTATCTCATTACTGCCATTCCCTCAATTACTAGAAACTCCCACCTGATCCTGTCAAACGCCTTCTCTCCATCTAATGATAGGGTCTGGAGTGAGGTGCCATTTTGCTCCACAATATCCAATATGTCTATTATTCTACAAATGTTATTAGATAATAACCTCCCTTGAATAAATCCTGCTTGGTTTGGATGTATCATAAATCATTTTTTGTGGCTTAAGAATTTATTGTTGTTTTTTTAATAGACTTTCATTTAGTCTCCAATTTAACCGACGTCTTATTAGATCATCTTCCATATCTATAATTAACAAGTTATGATCTGACCAAGTAAATTCTTTCATAAAAATCCTTGTTACTCATTTAGCTATGCTTCATTCTATGAAAACAAAGTCTATCCGAGAATATGTATGACATGTTTTATAGAAATAGACCAAATCCAGGTCTTCGGGATGAAACACTCTCCATTTACCTAATAGAGAATTTAGTTTGGTCATTTCTTTAAATCTAACTTAATTGATCGAGAGCTGTGTCTTGTTTTAGAACTGTGTATGATCTTCTATCTAGCGTTATGTCCATTAAACAATTACAATCTCCTAGTAATATTAACTCTCCTTGATCCTTAATAGGACTTTCTTAATAAAGTTTATCACTGCATGGTTAGGGACATAAACGTTAACAATTGTATATATTTTATGTTGTATTTCTCCTCTCAGTATAATGTAGGACCCTCTTTATCTATCTCCTGATGGATTACTATGCAGGGGGTCTTGCTAGAAATTACTTTTGCAACCCCTCTCTTTTTTTGCCACTCACTGATCCATTCAGGGTTATGCACTGAAGTGAGAATCACTGGGGATTCAAAGTGAAATTCACCTTGGAGGCCACAAAACTGAAATGGAGACATTCTCCAAGTCAGCTATGTTTCCAATTTAGCTATTTTGTCCTCAATTTTGAAATTCGCTTTAAATTCTTACTGTACTTAATAACTCTTAAAATGTTTGGCAAATATGTGCCTTTGTTTTAAGAACTTTAAATGAATATTTTAACTCCCTAATATTAATGCCCACTGGACCGCAACAAGGGAGAGACAGTTAAACAGCCTGCGCAGCTTAAACCTTTCAGTGACTGAGATATGCAGTGCATTAGTTTGCTCCAATGCTTGGAGGCTTTCTGTAAGGGAGTGTGTACTATGCAGTTACAGAGAAACCAAGGGATGAGGCAATAGGATGGTGTCCATGAGATATGGTATAGAATGAATCTATAGGTATATTTAAAACCTAGCAACAGCCACGGCAATAAAACAACAACAATGAACAAACCAACATCACTATAACAATGTAAATTAGAAGAACAGAATTTATTGCTGTAATAAAATATACAATATAGAAAATATATGTGTCTATGAAAACAGTGGTGGTTCTGTCATGCCATTAAGTATTTTATTTGTCAATGATGAAAAGTGGTGTGAGTGTATGGGAATGTGTTTGTCTTTGCATTATTTCTGAATTTGTCATTGTTGTGAATATGCATTCGTCTCTGTCTGTATATGAGTAGGTGTTTCTTTGGGCATAAAAGTTGGTGTCGCTGCCTGAATGATTTTGAATATATTTATGTGAATGAATCTGCAGGCTTGTCTCTGTACATCTGTTGTGTATACCCAGGTGTCCATGGAAGGAGTAGTGTTTGTTTTTTGTTTGTTTGGGTCACTGCGCTTTTCCTCTGGATTCTAGTTCTGCCTCTTTGTGAATTTGATCTATGGTTTTCGGACCCTGGGGTTTATGTCGAGGTATCCAGTGATTTTTCCTTAAATCCAGCACATCTTGCACCATAAATCGAATCCGTGAAGATATTGTCTTGTTTTTAATACAGATACCAACCTTGTTGAAATAGTCATCCATGTAAGACTCTCCATTTTCCAGGTACTTCCCAATTGATGTTAGCAGAAGACAGATGCATTCCATGGACTCTTCGCTGTTCCTGTTCAATAGTTTACTAAGAATGTCTTTCATGGTGTCTTCAGAAAGTAATTTTAATTTACATAGCTCCCCAATAAATTTGATGTTCCCTTGGGATCGCTTGCGTGATTTCTTGCAGGCTTCACTTAATTCCTCCTTTAATCGAGACTTTTCCTCAGGTAACGTAGCTGCATCCAGTTCCTTTTGCAATTTTTCAATTCTTTCATCTCCATTTTCCCCTCTCTCAAACTCCTTCTGGCAGAGGCTTATTAGCTGCCTGCGGAACGTAATGCAGATTTCACGATTGTCTTCGGTTGGGACCTGAAGCTTCATTAGCCAGTTGCACATACTGGCATAAATAACAGCGAAATGTGGCTCTGCTATCGCTTTTTCTAAAATGAGTTCTACAACGCCTTTCAGCTCATACTCTGTCTCTACAGAGAGGTCCTTCAGCTGTTTGATAAGGTTTTGAAACGTCTGTGGAGTGATCTTATTCAGAATACCACGGACTTTGCAAAGCAATTCTTGTGTCTTGACATTGTTGGTATCTTTGTTTGCCCTTTTCATTGGAGGTTGCCAAGCTTTCTCAGATTTTTGCAGTGTAATGTTCTCATGTAGTTGAATGATCCTGCGAGGTTCTTTACCAGGAGTGTGATGAGATCTCATTTGACCCATTCCAGGTCGTTGTCTGTGATTACCCTTAGCACGACGGGAAACATTTTCAGATATAGGTGTGCAATTCTTGCTGGTAAGTTGTGATGGATGCACTGGCCGAAGGTGAGGTCTAATAAGCATACCTTGGTAGATATTTAAGATTTCGAAGAAGTCCTTTGGCTGCAGTGTGGTTGATTGGAATTGGAGTAAAGAATCCCTATCATAGTGTATCCTTTCTACCTTTGTTTTAATATTTGTTTTCTCTTGGAGTGCAGGTACTGCAAGGTCTTGGCTTTCTGTGATTTGCATTGGTACTATACCGGCCTCACCAGGTGGTCCTTTTTCTTTGTCTTCTTTCTTTGGCAATGGCTGCTCTCCGGGATCACTGCTCAGGCTCACACGTGCTTCAGGTTGATTATTCTTAATCTCAGTTTGGTTCTGCTCAGCGATGCCCTCTTGATTGATTTGAAGCAACCCCTCTGGCTGAATAGTGGGGGAATCCAAATTAGTCTCAGAGTGATAAGTCACATTGTTTACTGGCAGCTCCTCTAACATTTCACCAGTGTGTGGTTTGGCAGGACAAACTGGGCTCTCCAGTAGACTACCAGGTTCCTGAACTGTGATTGGGTCCTGAGAATCTAGATGTGTAAGCTCAGGTGAACAAGTTGAAGAGGACTGTGGGTGCCTAGGGTGTACTGGAATCTCCTCTGTCAATATGTTTGTATGAGGTTCGATAGTGCAAACAGTGCATTCTAGTGAATTGTTGTCTTCTAAACATGTGATAACCTCTGTAGGCTCTGGAGACATAAACTGCACGGAATGACAATGAACTGTGATTGGGTTCTGAGAATCTAGATTTGTAAGCTCAGGTGAACAACTCGAAGAGGACTGTGGGTGCCTAAGGTGTACTGGAATCTCCTCTGTCAATCTGTTTGTATGAGGTTCGATAGTACAGACAGTGCATTCTAGAGAACTGTTGTCTTCTAGACGTGTGATAACCTCTGTAGGCTCTAGAGACATAGACTTCAGCAGAGGACAAGGAATATCCTCTAGACGTGTGATGGGTTCAGGATGTAGAATAGGAATCTGATCACAATATTCTGCAGAATATTTCTTTTCTTTTTCCAGTCCATTTGTGTCTACTTGCTTTTCTGGGACACTTGCATCCTTTATAGTTGCTATGTGTTTTTCTGGAAGTAATGTAGGCTTTACCTTAGAAAAAAGGAATGGGTCCCTGCAATGAAAATAGGAAAAGTAAAAAAAAAAATTGTAAAAATGATATCCTTTCCTCCCTTTCAATCCATCAGCCCATTTTGTCACGTATCATATTCCTCTCACTTTCATCCTGTCAGCAACTCTTTCACTCTTTATCAGTCAGTATTGCACAGCTTACAGTGATACTATCACACCATTTATGGTTCAGACATTACATTATACTTTCTGTCATTTCAGTATATAGTTAATTTTGTATTATAAAAGCTTATGTTTATATTAAAATTCATATCTTATTGAAATTAGGTAATGCTTAGTAAGTCACGTTGCTCTAGTACTCCCCAGAGATTCGTGATGTTGGCCCAGAAAGACCATTGACATCTTTCTCTGTCTGTGGTTCTTCTCTCATTGGTTTCCTGTGTACACAGACAGCCAGTGATAGAACCTGGGTATTGGCTAACTGAGGACCCTGCAGTTTCATTTGGATAACCTGATAGGATTATTGTCAGTTATTCTGTGTCTCATGGTACACTTACCTAGGTGGTCGAACATAAGTAATTGGTTTGTTGGTTATTGTTGGAGTCACCCGAATATAGTATGGTACATCGGGAATCTTCTCCTCTTTTCCATATTTGACATAGTTATTATTATGTCTAAAGTTTTTGAAGAAACACACAAAAAAAAATAAAAAAAATTTAGGTTGATTATTAGAGCAGGTTATTAGAGCTTAAAATCTCAATTTGTTAATACAAAACATCAACAATAGAAAAAAACCTACAATATCCACCCCCCCCTTTGATTAATGTAATCATATAGTATTTACCTTTTATCAAGCACAGCAAACTTAGATGGAACAGAAGGGGGAGGGCAAAGACTCTTTGTGCCTTCTTGGCAACGTTTTAGAACTTCTTCCACAAACCCGCCATTCTGTTCCCGTGGCTCCCGTCTCTTCCCCTTCTCAGTTTCTAGAGAAATATCCAGATTAGGTGATATCTGGGGGAATGTCTGGGGCTCTGCTTTAAGAGCTAGCCTACTGAGAAAAGAAAAAGTGATTAGTGAAGTTTCATATGTTGCACATTTGATGTTATATTTCTGGAGTAATCGAGTGTGTTTAGGAGATGATAATAGACGTTATTAAATATTATGCATTGCTATTTGGGTTGTATTGTAATGGTTAACTAATGCAATTTGTGATTCGTGCTGTTGGCTCAGAAAGACCATTGACATCTTTCTCTGTCTGTGGTTGTCTCATTGGGTTCCTGTGTACACAGACAGCCAGTGATAGAACCTGGGTATTGGCTTACTGAGGAACCTGCAGTTTCATTTGGATAACCTTATGGGATTATGGTCAGTTATTCTGTGTCTCATGATACACTTACCTAGGTGGTCGAACATAAGTCATTGGTTTGTTGGTTATTGTTGGAGTCACCCGAATATAGTATGGTACATCGGGAATCTTCTCCTCTTTTCCATATCTGACATAGTTATTATTATGTCTAAAGTTTTTGAAGAAACACACAAAAAACAAAAAGTTGATTATTAGAGCATATTATTAGAGTTTAAAATCTCAATTTGTTAATACAAAAAATCAACAATAGAAAAAAACCTACAATATCCCCCCCCCCCTTTGATTAATGTAATCTCATAGTATTTACCTTTTATCAAGCACAGCAAACTTAGATGGAACAGAAGGGGGAGGGCAAAGACTCTTTGTGCCTTCTTGGCAACGTTTTAGAACTTCTTCCACAAACCCGCCATTCTGTTCCCGTGGCTCCCATCTCTTCCCCTTCTCAGTTTCTAGAGAAATATCCAGATTAGGTGATATCTGGGGGAATGTCTGGGGCTCTGCTTTAAGAGCTAGCCTACTGAGAAAAGAAAAAGTGATTAGTGAAGTTTCATATTTCGCACATTTGACGTTATATTTCTGGAATAACCGAGTATGTTTAGGAGATGATACAAGAAGCCATTATATATTATGAATTGCTATTTGGGTTGTATTCTAATGGTTAACTAATGCAATTTGTGATTTGTGATGTTGGCTCAGAAAGACCATTGACATCTTTCTCTGTCTGTGGATCTTCTCTCATTGGTTTCCTGTGTACACAGACAGTCAGTGATAGAACCTGGGTATTGGCTAACTGAGGACTCTGCAGTTTCATTTGGATAACCTTATGGGATTATGGTCAGTTATTCTGTGTCTCATGGTACACTTACCTAGGTGGTCGAACATAAGTCATTGGTTTTTTTGGAGTCACCCGAGTATAGTATGGTACATCGGGAATCTTCTCCTCTTTTCCAGATCTGACATAGTTATTATTATGTCTAAAGCTTTTAAAGAAAAACACAAAAAACAAAAAGTTCAGACTAATTCTTGCAGCACCCAGCTTAGAGGTTAAAATCTCCATTTGTTAAAACAAAACATCAACAATAGAAAGAAACCTGGAGCTGGGGCTCTGCTTTAAGAGGTTCCCCAAGTAGGAAAGAAAAAGTGATTAGTGAAGTTTCATATTTCACACGTTTGATGTTATATTTCTGGAATAACCGAGTATGTTTAGGAGATGATAAAATAATTAGCATTATATATTGCTATTTGGGTCGTAGTTTAATGGTTAAATAATTCAATTTGATGTGTAATACTTGTGACATGTCTGGACTAAATTAATCCTGTGCTTAATCCCAGGATGGAGCTGCCCAATCAGGGTCTCAAACACTGTTACTAATTCCTATATATTTTATCTTCTTTTTACCGCTGTATATCATGCCTGCGTATTTTATTTTAAATTCCATTACTACATATGGGCTGGGCTACACACATTCATTGTTTTGTTCATCTCATCTGTTAAGAAAAATAACTAATAGATTAAACTCAAATTTACATCTTAAGGATTTTAACCCGTATATTACAACCATTCATTTCAATTACACTATTAAATCTACAGGAAAACTATATTATTTTATAGAAATAATGCCTATTAACCAACCATCCTTTATTCTAATCTCTATCCAACTCTGACCCCCATCTTCCAATAACCCCATCTAATATGATGCCTGCAGTCACTGGCCACTTACCTGCCTGTAGAAGGCTGACAAACAATATCATCTACACTTGTGACAGGTTCTGACAGTAGAATATTATTCTGTTTATAACACTCTGCACAGAATGTTTCTGCATTTTCCAGTCTTTTTTTGCCGACTTCCTTTTCTGGGACATTTCGAGCCTTTTTAGTTGTTTTGTATTGAGTTAGAAGTAATGTAGGCTTTACCTTAGAGAAAAGGAATGGGTCCCTGCAATGAAAAGAGGAAAAATTCAAATACAGTTGTAGCAATGATGTCCTTTCCTCCCTTTCCATTCTTCCGGTCCGTCAGTTACCCCATCTCTTGTTATCCATCAGTCATTATTGCACAGCTTATAGTGACACTATCACATCCTCTATGTGTCATACATTACATTCTGGATACAGTAATATCAGTAAATAGTCTATTTTGGGATTTGTGATGTTGGCTCAGAAAGACCATTGACATCTTTCTCTATCTGTGGTTCTTCTCGCCTTGGTTTCCTGCGTACACAGCCAGCCAGTGAAAGAACCAGTGTTTTGGTTTACTGAGGACAATGCAGTTTTATTTGGATAACCTTATAGGATTGTGGTTGGTTATTCTGTGTCTCATGGTACACTTACCTAGGTGGTCGAGCATATCGTATTTCTACGGTGGATTTCTTTGGAGTCACCCGAATATAGTATGGTACATCGGGAATCTTCTCCTCTTTTTTATATCTGACATAGGTATCATAATGTCTAAAGCTTTTAGAGAAAAAAAACAAAAAGTTCAGGCTGATCTTTACAGCACCCATCGCAGAGGTTAATATCTCAATTTGTTAAAACAAAGTACAAGAACCCTCCACCCCCCTTTGATTAATGTGATCATAGAGTATTTACCTTTTATCAAGCACAGCAAATTTAGATGTAACAGAAGGGGGAAGGCGACGTCTAAATGTGCCTTCTTGGCAACATTTTAGAACTTCTTCCACAAACCCGCCATTCTGTTCCCGCAGCTCCCGTCTGTTCCCCTTCTCAGTTTCTGGAGAAATATCCAGATTAGGTGATATCTGGGGGAATGTCTGGGGCTCGGCTTTAAGAGCTAGCCTATTGAGAAAAGAAAAAGTGATTAGTGAAGTTTCATATTTCGCACATTTGACGTTTTATGTCTGGAATAACCGAGTGTGTTTAGGAGATGATACAAGAAGCCATTATATATTATGCATTGCTATTTGGGTTGTATTGTAATGGTTAAATAATTCAATTTAATATATAAATGCTGTAAAAGTTTTCAAGACGCATGTCATCCTGCATTTCATCCCAGGATGGTGCTGTCTGATCAGGGACTCAAAACACCTTTATTAATTCCTAGATATTTTACTTGTTTTTTACACCCCTGTATATCTTGCCTGCTTATTTTAATGCAATCACTACAAATGGAATAAGCTACACACGTTTATTGTTTTGTTAATTTTTTATCTCACCTGTTAAGAAGAATAACTAAGAGATGAAACTCAAATTCACATTCAAAATATTTTAACCCTTATGTAACTCCCATTCATTTCAAGATGACACTATTCAATCTACAGGAAAGCTGTGTCATTTTATAGAAATGATGCCCATTAACAAACCATCCTTTAATCTAATCTCTATCGAACTCTGACCCCCATCTTCTAATAACCCCATCCAATAGGATACCTGCAGCCGCTGCCCACTTACCTGTCCGTAGAAGGCTGGATGTTTGGCTGTTTTCTGAATTCTTTTTTAGTAGAATTCCTGGGTGGGGGTTGATTACCCCCCAGCCGTGAAACCAGGGGACGTTCAATCATAGAAATAACGTTACCCATTGTCTCTGTAAATCATCTCACTGCAATGAAACTGCTTGTGAAATGCCAGTATAACCAGCACTAACTCTGTTATCTGTTATCTGGTCTGTGACATCACAATAGAACCTGATGATCTATGATGCAGGAATAATGGCTGACTGCATAATGTCTATTGATATTATATCCAATTAAATATAACCGAAAAATAATTTAAATCACAGGAAAATAAACAACTTAATTTCATAAGTTGTGGTTGTAGCATTAACCCCTTAAGGACCAAACTTCTGGAATAAAAGGGAATCATGACATGTCACACGTGTCATGTGTCCTTTAGCGGTTAAAGGGATACTCCGGCCACCATAACAACTTTTTCATAATTAAGTTGTTATGGTATGATGAGGTCCATGGCACCATATCACCTAAAGGTGTTAAACCATTAACAGTTTAACCCCAGACACTTCCTCTAAAGGTGACATATATAACGATATCAAATTAGGGAGCTATTTACTAAACAGCTGGACTATTTAGAAAAGTTTTTATTTTTATTTTAAACTTTTATCAGATTAGTAGATAACTCCCTAATTTGGTATCTTTATGTGGGATTGCCAAATATAAAGATACTAAATTAGAGAGCTATCTAATTAACAGCTGAAAGTTTAAGATTAATTAATTCCCTTTTCATAGCCAATCCCATGTTACATAGTTACATAGTTACATAGCTGAAAAGAGACTTGCGTCCATCAAGGTCAGCCTACCTCACGTTTGTTTTTTGCTGTTGATCCAAAAGAAGGCAAAAAACCCAGTTTGAAGCACAATTTTGCAACAAGCTAGGAAAAAAATTCCTTCTTGACCCCAGAATGGCAGTCAGATTTATCCTTGGATCAAGCAGTTATTACCCTACATTGAAAGATTATATCCTTGAATATTCTGTTCTTGCAAGTATGCATCTAGTAGCCGTTTGAACATCTGTATGGACTCTGATAAAACCACTTCCTCAGGCAGAGAATTCCACATCCTGATTGTTCTTACAGTAAAAAAACCTTTCCTTTGCCTTAGACGAAATCTTCTTTCTTCCAGTCTAAACGCATGGCCTCGTGTCCTATGTAAAGTCCGGTTTGTGAATAGATTTCCACACAATGGTTTGTATTGGCCCCGAATATATTTGTATAATGTTATCATATCCCCTCTCAGGCGACGTTTTTCTAAACTAAATAGGTTTAAATTTGTTAACCTTTCTTCATAGCCGATATGTTCCATTCCTTTTATTAATTTTGTAGCCCGCCTCTGCACTTTTTCTAGTGCCATAATATCCTTCTTTAGAACAGGTGCCCAAAATTGCACAGCATATTCAATATGGGGTCTTACCAGTGATTTATAAAGAGGCAAAATTATATTCTTGTCCCGAGAATGAATGCCCTTTTTCATGCATGACAATACCTTACTGGCCTTGGCCACTGCTGATTGACATTGCACATTGTTGCATAGTTTGTTGTCTATAACAATTCCCAAGTCCTTTTCATGTGTTGTTATCCCTAATTCGCTTCCATTAAGGGTATACGTTGCTTGTGTATTCTTTACGCCGAAGTGCATAACTTTGCATTTTTCAACATTAAATTTCATCTGCCATTTGAGTGCCCAGTCCCCCAGTCTATCTAAATCCCTCTGCAGCAAAGTAATATCTTGCTCACATTGTATTGTTTTACAAAGTTTTGGTGTCATCTGCAAACACTGAAACATGACTTTCAATGCGGTCTTCAAGATCATTTATAAACATGTTAAATAGAAGGGGTCCCAGAACAGACCCCTGAGGGACACCACTTGCCACCTCTGTCCAGCTTGAAAATTTACCATTAATGACAACTCTTTGTACTCTGTTTTTAAGCCAGTGTTCTACCCAAGAACAAGCATTTTCATCTAGACCGATTTCCTTGAGTTTGAACACTAATCTATTGTGTGGAACTGTATCAAATGCCTTGGCAAAATCCAAATAGATCACATCCACGGCAACACCCTGATCTATACTTCTACTTACTTCTTCGTAGAACGCAATCAAGTTAGTTTGACATGACCTGTGCTTCATAAAACCATGCTGATTTTTGCTGATAACCATGTTCTTCTCAAGGAATTCTTGAATATTATCCCTTAATAACCTTTCAAATATTTTACCAGCCACAGAAGTTAAGCTCACAGGTCTATAATTTCCAGGCAAGGATTTTGAACCCTTTTTGAATATAGGAACCACATCTGCCTTCCTCCAATTCTCCGGAACACTTCCTGAATCCCAATAGGTTCAACAGCAGAGAAACACCCAACAGTTCATGTAGCAACATCTCGATCTTATAAAAACATCCCACTTGTGTGAATTCTTTGTGTTTGGAGGAAATTACAGGACTATAAGTGGAACACAGAGACCGAGCAAGTTTGTTATTCAGTTTCATCTTGTCTTCTATGAGACAGTATCGAGGAGTGTAGTAACATGTGACCTCTTATCTCTCATGCTCTGGGGACTTCGCTGAGGAACATTACTGCTCACATGGTCTTTCGCTTGGTTTGAGGCACAGGGCAAGGATTGTGATCCCCTAGAAAAGCAAATGGCCAGGGCCCAAAAGATTGAGCAAAATTAAGTAGGACAGGTGTGAGTAATGGGAGGGAGTGATAAGACGTTATACATGATAATGGAAGTGGAAGGAGTATAGGAGAGGAAGGGATTGGTGGGAATTATACAATTATAGAGAGAGGAAGGGATAAGTGAGAGAGATAGGATGATGGGGAGATGGAGGGAAACATCGGTAGGATGGGTTTGGCATATGGTGGCACATAATCTTGGCCAGGCCAAGGGCAGCATAAAAGGTGATTAGATCAGAGTAAATCATGGCATATTCTTGACGTTCTTTACGCCTTTTTATCTTTATTTTCTTTAAACATGGGGACAGCCCTCAGTGTGCAACCTTTTCCTTAATAACCAATTTTCCTGGTTTCCACTTGAGACTCTGAGACTAATGGCGGCTGTGATAAAATTGGCTTACAGTATGGATATCTGTTGTTTTATTATATTAACTACATATTTTGTTCTTGCGTCCTTATTTCTAGCCAAATAACAGAGCTATTTAGGATAAACCTGGGCAACCTTCAGCTCTCCAGATGTTTTGCACTACATCTCCCCTGATGGTTTTTATAGTGTCGATAGTATCCCTTTAACTACAGAAACAATAAAAAAAGTATTTTCTGAAAAGTAGTGCGAACTTAGTAACTGGGCAGAGTCACCAGTACAACGTGCCTGATGGTTCCATTGTTTTCCATAGTGACTGCCATACTTTTGCTTTGTACATTTATATATATATTTTCTTGTATGTTTCTCATATCCAAATGAAGCGAGCACATGAAACAGTGCGGTGCATGCAGGTACATGGAAACATAAATAAATCATAAAACAGGATGAGATATGCAGATTTCAATTGCAATAAAAATAAAGTAACAAAATAAAAACAAAACAAGTTAGGGTGTAAGCAATGCCCCTAAGGTGGATCAAACTATACAGGGCGTAAAGCATCAGGAGAAGACTCCCATCGCACCAGCTATGGTGTTCTAGTCCTCAAGCACAAATGTCCCATAGTAAATGCAAAATAAGGGCACCTGCGTCAGAAGTAGTGTGAACATATGAGTAATGTGTGCAAGAGGCCACATCATTCCAAACAAGAGATAAATGGATTGATGCCGAAATCTCAAGTCACCATGAGCTACGTCGCATGCTTGGGCTCGGAGAGAGCAGGAGAAAGAAGGAAAAGGAACGAAGGGAGGAAAGTAGGGGGGGGCAACGAGGAAGAGGGTGGTGGGCAGAAAATGTAGAAGCTAGGTAGAAGGAATAAGGAGGGGGATCCGATTGAAGTTTAAGAATACAGCCCTTGTTATACTTAGCTCTGGTTTCGTCTTGCCCAAATCATTGTGTTCCCTGCCTGTGCTTGAATGTAACTGGATTGTGATATACTTTGTAAAAGATTGAATAAACATTTAAAAGGAAATACAGCATCACATGGAAACAATGTTTCATACATGTTAACATGTTATATTTTTAAGGGGTACTTTGAGCACTATGACCACTACGGTGTGTTGTAGTGTTTATGGTGGCAGGAATATTCTGAAACTACCCCACAGTAATTTATGACCTCTAACACTTACCTATATCTGTACCGGGAACATTTGGTGCAGAGCTGATCCTAGGCAGCGCATGGGTTGCACATCACCAAGGTGCTCTGTAGATAGAGGCTCATTGTGGTGCTAGGTTTCAGCCCCTCTCCCTTGGCTCCATCCCCTCATTTTAAGCCCCATCTCTTCACTGGTAGGCTTATTGAAGCCCCATGCGGGAGAAGTGCTCAGAGTTCCTGGAAGGTGAAGCTGGGCAGTCACGAGGGGGGGGGGGCAAAATAAGGGCACAGGAGTAGAGAGGAGTGGGGTTAAAGAAGAGCATAGGAGTGAAGGTGGGCAAAGGAAAGGCACAGGAGAAGAGGTGGGCAAAAGAGTTCACAGTAGGGCAAAAGAAGGGGCATATGAAGGGCACAGTAGGTGAGATGAGTAAAAGAGAGCACAGGAGGGGAGGGGGATAAAGAGTGCACAGGAGGGCCCCAAGGGCACAAGAGGGAAGGGGCTAAAGATTTCACAGGAAGGCCCGGAGGTCATAGGAGAAGAGGGGGAAAAAGTGAACAGAAGGACAGGGCACATACAGACACACATGGGAGCTGGGGGCACAGAGAGGCACACAGGGGGCTGACGTGGAACAAAGACTCACACAGAAGGTCTTTTGGGACCAAGAGAAATATACCAGTTTTGGGGTGGCAAAGAAATTTGGAGGACAAACAGACACACACAGAAGGGCTGGGGGGAGGAGACACACAGAGGGGAAGAATAAAAGAGACGCACAAAGAGATTGGAGGTTGAAACAGACGCCTGCTGGGGAAGAAAGAAGCCTGCCAGCCAGCCAGTCACTGCAGCCATCTAGCCAGCCTGCCATCAAGTCACAGCAGTCT